ATTTCAATTAAAGACATGACTTATTCATCTTCTTCCCACCTTCCACGGCTTTCCCACTGAAGATCCGTATAAACACTTGTTGGAATTCCACATGGTTTGCACTAGCATGAAACTACATGGAGTTATTTAAGATCAAATTAAATTGAGAGCTTTCAAAGGAGCATTCTTTTCATTCAGTAAAAGAGTGAAGAAAGTCTTTATAACTATTAGGAGCGATTTAAAAAGCTTTGTGCACGTTGTTCGCAACACAGATTAAGTGAGCAAACATTAATTCAATACATTTATGAAGGCATTTTACCAATGGAGATGAAGATGGTAGATGTCGCCAGTGGAGGAGCATTAGTCAACATGACCCCAACAATAGCAATGGAATTGATTTCAACCATGGCAGCCAACTCTCAACAGTTTTCAAGTGAACCCAGCCGACAAGTTCACGAGATAATTACTTTTTCTCTTGAGAATAAGTTAGACAAATTAATTGAAGTAGTTAATTCACTTGTTGCAAGAAAATCTGGAGCAACAAGAGTATGTGGGATATGCACAAAGCTAGACCACTCGACAGATTACTATCCGCTAATACAAGAAGGAGGCAATGCAAAAATCAATGTCGTAGGAAACTTTCCAGGACCTCCACAAAGACAATACAACCCATGCAACAATACTTATAATCCAGATGGCAAAACCACTCAAACTTCAGCTATGCGACAAATCAAAGACCAACTTATCAACCAAGACCTCTGCCTCAACAACAAACATAAAAATCACCATTGGAGGAACACATAGGAAAGTTAGCAATCTCACAAGAAAAGTTCATTACATCACAGGAAAAATTCCAAAGCCGAACCAAAACACATCTTCAAGAGTTAGATAACCAAGTAAGTCGACTAGCTCAAACTATGGGAAAATTGGAATCACAAGAAAGACTACCTTCTCAAACATAGTTAAATCCGAAAGAGAATGTTAGTGCTATCACACTCTGAAGTGGAACAATCATCTCACCCAAAGTTCCAGTAGAAAAAACCGCACATAAAAAAGAACAAGAGGACATGCCACCTTCAGAAATACAAGGTACGTCCAACTCACATCCATCTATTTCTTATCATGAAATTACACCACCACCCTTCCCCCATAAATGTTGATGAAGCGTGATAAAAGAGCTGAAGAAAGGGAGATCTTAGAGGTATTCCAAAAATTTCAAGTCAACATACCTCTTCTTGAAGTAATTCGACAAGGACCAAAGTATTCTCGATTTTTAAAAGAACTTTGCACTACAAAGAGGAAATTAACGGGGTACGAAAAGGTAAATTTGGGAGAACATGTCTCTGCAATTTTTCAACAAAAGTTCCCACCAAAGATGAAGGATCAAGGTATATTCGTTATACCTTGCAAAAAAGGTGATTTTAAAATTAAACGTGCAATGTGTGACTTAGGAGCTTCAATCAATGTTATGCCATTTTCTATTTATAAAACGATTACTAACGAGCCTTTGAAAGAAACATGAATAACAATACAGCTGGTTGATTGATCTGTGATCTATCCAGTGGGAGTAATGGAAAACATTTTGGTAAAGGTCGATTTATTATTTTTTCCTGCAAATTTCTATGTCATTGACATGGAACATGATAGGTCGGATACTTATTCGAGGCACTTTTAGGTCGACCCTTCCTAAGCACTGCACATATAAAGATCGATGTTAGAAGTGGTATACTGACAATGGAATTTGATGGTGAGATCATTGAATTTGATGTTTACAAAGCAATGAAATGATTAGATCATGTTGAAAGAATTAATTTTGTTGATGTTATAGATCCTTTTATTGATGAATGTATTGAATCTAATCTTTTTTATAATCTTTCCAAGGATCCTGAACTTTGCCACGAAGAGGAAGAAAGGGAGTTTGAAAATATGTTGAGATCGTTGGTTGCTAGTTTTTCTTTATATTCTTGCTTCCTTTTGGATTATGACCATGTTTTTTTATCTAATTTAATTTGCATGATTGGTGATTGATATAACTAGTGAATTTTTGTTGATTATTGATATTTCATGCTTTTGTCGATAGAGATGAACTTGACTCAATGCACATAAACTTTTCTTGTGAGATTTGGGCCTAACGAGCATATATTTTCTTTCTTGTTCATTGTTTGACTTGTGTGTGCCGAACTAATTAGGATATTCTAGAACTTGTAATCACAATGCATACGATACTACATGTTGTACGTAATGTTTTAATGTGATAGGGGAACCTAGGATAAACCCACTTTTCCCAAAAAGCCTACCCGTTTATATATCCACTAGTGAACCAAATTTGAGCCTATTTCCCTTTCTTTGTTTTACACCTCATAATTAAACCCGAAGCTTTTCTTTTTCTTTTTCCTCTCTTTTCACGCCGTTACCTAGACTTGAGGTCTTGTATCACTCTTGTTCCACGAATAAAGAAAAAAATGAAAAAAAAATTCGCTGTTTCTAAAAAAATCAAAAAAAGCAAGTTGTTCATTGTTTCGAACTACAAAAAAAATAGACCCTTGTTCGAAAAAAAGGGAAGTAAAAATCGATCGTTTCAATTGTCTTTCATCTATTCTTTTTTCCTTGATTTGTTCTTCATTGCGCTTCATGTTATTTCGTGGATTATTTTTAATTATTTTGATCTCTAGTTTCGGTATTTTAAACCTTTATTTTCGGCCTTTTCCCTACCCTAACCTAAGCCCCATTACACATTGTTTAAAGACCCCTTGATTATTGTATTATATTCATTTTTCGTAGTGGAGACTTGATTGGATTCCAAGCCTATGGTAATATTTTGATTAGTTTCAGTTTGAGTGATTTCATTTACCCCAAACACTTTGAGCGGATATGTGTGAATCTTTTTGAGCTATTGAGTCATGTTTCATTGAAGTTGGCAATCAATTGAGATATCTTGCTTACTTTAAATTTTATTGGTTATGTCTTTGCTTGATTGTAACTTGAATTCGACAAATATCATGGACTTAGTTCGATTGGATGTTTGAGGAATAAATTGAAATTGAAGATGACAACTTGTGATTTTGATGTATTAATTAATGAATGGTTGAGGACAAACATTGAATAAGTGAGAGGGAATTTGATAAGTGCTTAATTTAGTTAATATTTTGCTTTTAAATTACTCCTTAATCATTGGTTTTTGTTGCTTATTTGTTTGTTTTGATTCATTTTCTGTGCAGGACGTTAGATTCAAGAAATTGCACTAAAAGGACATAATTCTACAGTTTTTTAATTTTCAGAATCAAAACTGGATTAGTGGGCATGAATTCGGCATGAAACATCCGACGAGGTGATGATGTCTGCACATTCTAGAAGATCCAGTCAGTGTTTTTAGAAGCACGAATGGATTGGCTGTACGTTTTTGCAATTCAGATTTGAATTAAACTCAAGTTTGTAGATAATATTTTAAATTTTATCTTTGTTTTAGGTATTTTAGTTTAAATAGTTTTAAGTATTTTAATTAGGATTTAAGATGTTATAGTTTGTTTTTAGGAATTTGAAGGCTATAAATACCCTATCAGGGTAAGCCTAGAAACATATCTCTCTCATCTGAGAATTAAATCTTTTTCTCTCTCTCTAGCTTTCTTTCTATTTTTCGCATATCCCTTTATTTTTCTTTAAACAATTGATAAGTATGACTTTGGTCATGTTTTGTTAATTTTATTTCAAGCCAAAGACTGAAGCGAATGCTCAATTCCAAATGTGAGAATTGTAAGGTACTTAAATCGCTTTTCTCTATGTTTTCTGAGCTTACCTTTCAAATCAAAATGATTTTGACATTGGTCCGGATATTGTTATGGTTAGCGTTTGAAGAAGGATTTTCTTATTGAAGCATATTCGACTTCTCGAGAATACACTTAGCAAAATTTTTTGCTAAGAGGAAACTGAGATTAAAATTAGTTATTGTTGAAACAACATAATCCGAGTTGGCAACAAAAGAATTGTCCTTGTAAGCCGACATGAATCTTGAAGTAAAAATCAGTTTCGATGATCCGAGGAATTTGAGGCAAAGCTGAAGTCTGAGGTTGTTTTCACGATAAGTTTCTCTTTATCTCAGTCTCTTTAATTTGTTTATTTAATTATTTTTATTACTTAATTCTTATCTTTTATTTAAAAACAACTTTCTAAAAATCCCCTTTTATCTTTATTACTATTATTATTTATTATTTTATTATTTCCCCCTTTTTAAATTATAATTAATTATTTATTTTATTATATATTTTCAACTTCATCTGAGATTCTATTTTCTTTTAAAATAAAGAAAGAATTTTTCTAAATCACAAAAATTATAGTTCCTGTGGATCGACCACGCTTCTCTATACTATCTTTTTCTTTCTATTTATTTAAGAAGCCATGAATTATTTTGATAACAAAAACGACGGTTATCATAAATTTTTTAACTTTGATTATGATTATTTTAAATATTTTAAATAATTAAATTTTATAAAATATATATTTAAAAACTATTTGATTGAAAGTTTTTAAAATATATTTTTACATATTTTTATTAACAATAAATTTTAAATAATAATTAGTCAAAGTTTAAAAAATTTGACACTAAAAAAGTTAATAATTGACATCTTTTATGGAACGGTGAGAGTATTATTATTTAAGTAAAGTGAGAATTGAACATAATTTTTTTTCAAATTTGATCTTTTTTTTGGACAATTAAGCTTTATTACCCAAAATAGCATATTTATGCTACAAAACAATACAATCAGAGTATCAAAGAATGGGGAACCAATGTACAAACAAAATTAATCAATACCCCAATTCCTACATAAAGCTAAATTTATGCTATCATTCCTATTAATGTTCCTATTAGTTAGGACAACCCTAACAATTATCTTAACATAGTTGATAATTTCTTCAACAGTTCGACTCTTGTCTTTGAATATCCTACGATTTCTTTCCTCCCAAATGATGTAATTGTGACCGCACCAAGAGAGCCTCAAAATAATGGAAATCAAGGACTTACCCTTTCATGAATTTGCTGCCCATTCGAACAGACTGGACCAGTTGGTGAACTGAATGTTCAATCCGGACAGTTGGAGCAGAGAACTCCATATAAAAGCCGTGTACCTGCAAGTGGCAAAAAGATGATCTCTGGTTTCAATTTCATCATGGCAGAAAATACACTCAGCATTAGTAGAAATCCCAAAACGTTGTAATTTGTCATTGGTTGGAAGACGATCCAGTATGATCAACCAAGAAATAAGGCTATGCTTCGGGACATGGAGAGAAAACCAGAGCAGATTATGCCAAAATACTTTGCTTTTTTTAGGCCGAATATCTTTCCAAATTTGCTTGGTGTTACTCACAGAAGATAACAACAATGGTCTGGCCATGATTCGTATTTTCAAAATACGTTTAAATATCCATCTCGAATTAAGAGGTTCAGTCATGGTCCAGAAATCTTGATTCTTGATAGTATTAATTTGAGTCCAGGCAACCCATAGTGATCCTTGACTTGCAAGAAGTTTTCTGGTAAGTAGAATTAAGTTCGCACAGTTCCAGGATTTAATATCCTTTAGACCTAAACCACATTCTGACTTTGGATAACAGATATTTCTCCAGCTCACCCTTGCTCCTGTAGCTTTTGTATCCAAACCTTTCCAAAAGAATCTTGAACACAATTGTTCAATTTTCTTGATAATGGAAAGAGGCAAGACAAGTTGCCTACACCAAAAATTTGCAACGCTATAAAGAACAGTCTTGATGAGCTCCACGCTTCCTACATAACTCATATACTTTCTTGACCATTGGTGAAGCATGTTTTTGATGTTATCTAGAAGGGCTTGACAATCTTTAGCAGTAAGTTTATTGGTGACCAAAGGGACACCCAAGTAACGAACATGTAATCTTCCATGTTTAAAGTCAGTAGAACTTATGATAGATTCAATGTTGAGGGGAGAAATACTAGCCGTATAGATTTCCCATTTTCCAGCATTAAGTTTAAGTCCAGAAAACTCATAGAAGCAGTCCAAGACAGTGATAACACCCAAAACAGACTCAAGATTTCCTTTGCAAAAGATAAGTAAATCGTCAGCAAAAGATAAGTGAGTGAGTCTGAGATTCTTGCATTTAGGGTGAAAAGAAAACATCCCTTTAGAAGCAGCAGTGTTGAGGAGGGTGAACAGAACATTCAGAATCATAACAAATAAAAAAGAGGATAGTGGATCCCCTTGTCTTATCCCTCTAGCACCCTTGAAGTAGCCAATCAAGCTTCCATTGAAGGCAATAGAGTATCGAGCATTCGAATAGCGCGCAGTAATCCATTCAATGAATTTGGATGAGATATCCAAAGCTTTAAGGACAACCGAAATGAAATCCCAATTAATGGAGTCACATGCTTTCTGAAGATCTATTTTTAAAAGCACATCTCGGTGAGATGGATTTCCTCCCATAACCTTTGACAATCTCTTGAGCCAGAAGAGTATTGTCAATTATATTTCTTCCCTTGACAAAAGCATATTGATTTGGAGCTATAATCCCGGGAAGCATCGGAGTTATCCTATTAACAAGGATCTTAGTAATAGCTTTGTAGATCACTGAACAACAAGAAATAGGACGGAAATCAGAAACTTTGCTCGGATTTGGCATTTTAGGAATTAAAGCAATAGTGGTCGAGTTAAAAGCCGAGTAGATAAAAGATTCCTGGAAGAAGTATTTGACAGCCTTAAGAACATCATTACCAACCACCAACCAAGCTTTTTAAAAAAATAAAGGGGAGTATCCATCGGGACCTAGAGCCTTGTCATTGCCTTGACAGAAAATGGCATCTTTAATTTCCTCATTGGTAACTTCTTTAACAAGCATTTCTTTGTTTTCCAAGGAGGAAATAGGGTGGACTAAATATTTAAGTAGAGATACAGGGCAACCTTTGGTATTAGGATCTTTAGAGCCTAATAAATTTTTGAAATATTCAATAATTTCGAATGACATATCTCTAAAAGAATCAAGTCTATCTCCCTGATTGTTGGCTAGAGCTCTTATAGTCTGTCTTTTGTTCTTGGTAACAATGACCGAATGAAAAATTTTGTGCATCTATCACCTTCCTTAATCCAATGCACTTTAGCTTTTTGTTTCAAAAACATCGATTCAACTACTTCTAACAAGTTGAATTCTCTCTATAGCTCAAGTTCTTTCTCCAAGGAACCATCACCTTTCAAGGTAAGTAGTTGATGCATTTCAAGTTCAGCTCTCTTTTGAATGACTCGGGTCAAAATGTCACTAAAATATTCCTTATTGAGATTTTTGAGACTAGATTTGAGACGTTTAAGCTTTGTGAATAAAATCATCATAGGATTGACGTCAGTCTCTAAATTCCAGGAGTGTCTCACAGTTTCAAGAAAATTTGGGTGGAGTGCCCAACAATTAAAAAATTTAAAAGGTTTCGGTCCACTAGAATGAACCTCTTTACTTAAGTTCACCAAAGCCATACAATGATCAGAAGGACCTGGAGCCATGAATTCCACATGAGAATGGAGAAAACATTCAAACCACGAAGGATTAATTAAAACTCTGTCTAATTTCCGAGCCAAATAGTTATCACTTTGCTTATTGCTCCATGAAAAAGTAGGTCCAAAATAAAGATGATCTTGCAACTGCAGATCTTGTGATCGTATATGTATTAATAACGTGGTTTGTATAGGGAGAGTTTGTTACTTCAAAAGAAGTCCAAAGCCCAAGCTCCATGTGCTGAAAGGAAAAGCCATGCGAGGTGCAAAGACCAACACAACTAACTATGCTCCTCATACTTTCTCTCCTTGTGCCTTTTCGAGCATCTGCTACTCATAGGATGGGCATGGGACCCAGATCCAACGAATTTTGATCCAATCGGAATGAATTTTTTTAAAAAAATCGGGTTATGGTCTGGTTTTTTTAGAGGTTATATTCAAATTATGTCGGGTTAGGGTTTAGAGTGAAAAATACCCAATGCGACCCAAGAAAAATATATAATTTTACCTTTACAGTTAGTAATAATTTTAATAATATCCCTCTATATATTATTTTTTTCAATTAAATTCATATTTTTATTGAATAAAAATAATATTTTTTTAATAAATATATTATTTTGGGTCGGGTCGGGTTAGATTTTTATCTCAAAAAGTCGGATTGAGTCGGGTGGAGGTATATATTTTTCGGGTCGGATCGGGTTTGAGTGGAGGAGGCATAATTTTTGAGTCGGGTCGGGTTGGCCGAAAGTCCGACCCGACCCATGCCCATCCCTAGCTACTCAGCTGGACTAGAAATGAGAAAGCACTCATTGTATAAAATGGTTACACAGCTTCAGCAACAAGATTGCTGCTTTCTTGACTCGCTTATTCATCTAAAGAAATACACAACTTATTTGAACCAAGTAGAATCATGTGTTATACTTGGAAGATTAACCAAAGAGTAATAAGCACCTGTTGGCCCCTTAGCTAACAAAGATGAATGATTACCATTCTCAATCACCTTCCCTTTCTCTAACACAACAATAACATCACAGTTTTGAATGGTACTTAGACTATGTGCCACAACTACACTAGTCCTCCCCACCATCACTCCCTCTAATGCCTGTTGCACCACTTCCTCAGATTTACCATCAAGTGCACTTGTTGCTTCATCTAACAATAACACCGTCGGATTCCTCAATATGGCTCGGGCTATAGCAATCCGTTGCTTCTGCCCCCCGGATAGTTGTACACCTCTGTCTCCACACCAGGTATCATAGCCATCTGCTAGGCCGGCAATGAAATCATGTGCATTGGCTGCTTTGGCTGCTTCAATGATTTCAGATTCATTAGTTTTATCACACGCTCCATACAAAATGTTTTCCTTGATCGTGCCAGAAAATAGTGCTGGTTCTTGGCTAACGAGTGCTATGTGATTCCTCAACGACCGTAGGTTGTATAATCTTATATCTCGACCATCAATCTTCACTACCCCTTTGAGAGGGTCATAAAATCTCTCAATCAAACTGATGACTGTTGATTTACCAGATCCACTTTGTCCCACCAACGCTGTTGATTTCCCAGCTTCGATGGAGATTGAAAAGTCCTTCAAGATGGTCATATTAGGCCTGGCCGGATATGCAAAATCAATGTCACAAATTTCCACATGTCCTGTAATCTTTTCAGCAACGTAACTGTTAGAGTCATCGGGTTCAATTCTTGTGTAACGGTCTGATATAGCAAACAAAGATCCAACAACCTCAACGCTCTTGGCCAAGTCTAATGTCATGCTTGCAAAGTGTTCAATGAAAAAGCCAGTGTTGATCAAAATGAGGTATGTTTCAATGAAGGCTTTTGAGGTGATATGTCCCTGAGATACGAGTTTCCCGCCATACCAAAGATCAAAGGCTATAATGCTTGACAAAAAAAATCGAGACACCCCAAGTCCAAGACCAGCTAACCAAGATTGTCTAACATTCTTTTTTCTTGGATTCTCGTGGGACTTCTGTAGCATTTTCAAGATTCGATCTTGAGATGAGAAGGCAGTAATGGTTCGGTGGTTGGAAACTGCCTCAGTAGCAAGCTTGCTGCTCTCTTGTTGTGCTTCGATAGCTTCTCGGGACATTTGTTTTAGTAAGATCGTTCGAACTAATACGGAGAGGATGAAGAGGGGTTGGACTGCTATCATGGCAATAGCAAGTCTCCATGCAATGAATAGGCCCAGGGCAAAAGCTAAAATTACACACGAGATGGTTTGCACTAGAAAAGACACTCCATCACCAATTAAAGATCTCACCTGTAAACATTCAACACCACTAAGAATATTTGAATTTATCATAAAAATCAATTATATGCTTCTTAGGATTTTGAGTTTTCATTTATGTACAATTTTTCAGTTATGCTGCGTGTTTTAAGATCCGATAACTTTATATTGCAAGGGATCATGTAGCTGGTCCACAAAGGAATCGTAATTAAACAGAAAACTTAACATAATCATTAAAAAACAAAGTAAAAAGATGGAACGAAGAACATACCCCATTTGCATCTTTTTCTAATCTAGCACAAACAGGGCCACTGGAATTCTCATCTTGGTCAAACCACCCAACTTCGAAAGTCAGTATCTTTGAAAGCAACCTTTCTCTTATCCTCTTTGTCAAGTGCTCCCCCATGTAAGCAAAATTATAATGCAGAATAATATTGATTATCAGTGAAAATAGAAAATACCCAAGGAAACCCAACGCATAAACCTTGGCTTTTTCTTTAATTTCACCATGATCTGTGAGAAAAAACATTGATACCATTGACCCCGTTGTGAAAGCTGAAAGTGGTTGCACTGCACCAAATAGAATTGCACTCAAGCATCCTATGGTAGCTTGTTTCCACTCCAGTAAATTCAAGGCCAACAATCTTCTGAAAGATGGTGTAGAAACTTTCATTTCTCCATCTAGTGAAGCATGATTTGATGCTGCAGAATTGGTTGAACTTGTTCGGCTGGCTAGAGATGAGACTCTACGACTGCTATCAATATTGATTGCCATGTTTGTTATATGAGCCGAGTCATTTACTGATAAATTTTTATTACATTCTTCCATGACTTTCACTTGTTCTATTTGTTGAAGTTGCACTAGCATGGGATAAATGCCATTTTCATTTACCATTAACTCATTATGTGATCCGATCTCCACGACCTGCCCTTCTTGGACAACAGCAATTAAATCTGCATGTCTAATAGCAGAAAGGCGGTGGGCAACAATGATTGTGGTACGTCCAATAGAGGCCTTGTCAAGAGCTTCTTGCACAATACGTTCGGATTCAGAATCTAATGCACTTGTAGCCTCATCAAGGAGGAGGATTTTGGGTGCTTTTATCAAAGCTCTTGCTATGGCAATTCTTTGTTTCTGTCCACCAGACATTTGAACCCCTCTTTCACCAACCTGTTGAATATAAAACATAATTTTTACATTTTTGCCTTATATTGAAGATATTTTTTTCAAGCTATAGACTATCATTTTCTCTTTCTGGATGTTACGCTTGTTGAGTAAAGTGACCTGTAAAAAAAATAAACCTGTTTACACTGACTTGGTAAAAATAAAGATAAGCAAACAAACCTGGGTATCATATCCTTGAGGAAACTGGGATATGAAATTATGGACATTGGAAGCTTTAGCAGCTTCTATAACCTCTTCCATTCCAGCTTCTTCATTGCCAAAAAGTATGTTCTCTTTAATGGTTGTTGCAAACAGTGTAGGCTCTTGACTCACCAACCCCATTTGTGACCTTAACCACTTGAGCTGCAATTTTTTAATTGAAACCCCATCAAGAAGTATGTCTCCTCCAAGAGGGTCATAAAACCTTTGCAACAGTGAAATAACTGTGGATTTTCCTGATCCACTACTACCTACCAAAGCCACAGTCTTTCCTGCAGGAATTTTGAGACAGAAACTCTTGAAAATTATGCTCACAGGCCT